AGCTCCATTCTGGTCCAGGACCTTATTTCCCTGATGTCACTAGGGAGAGCACGCAAATATGGGGAAATACCAACACAGTAACCAATGGGACAGCTGGCAAGGCACTCAGTGACATTTTAAAGATAACTGCTCACAGACCACTCAGCCACAAAGGACAGTTTCACTGTTCAGTTTCTCAGTGACTGGGTGTTTAATTCATAGAAATCAATGACGGCACGCCTAGAGAGGCCACCATACAAGGGGGAGTGTGACCATGAAGCCTTGTGTGTTTCCTTCTAACAGTGACTGTATTTGTAATGTTCTTCTTGGAGGCATCCGGCATTTCTTAGCTGGGGATCATCAGAGCTGGCAACTCAAAACTTCTAAGAATTACTATCTGTTTACCACAATCTCTATATTCAAAGAATCAGTAGCATGTTTTATTTTTTAAATGCGTGTTTTCTTTTTCTGACTTTGCCGTAACTTGGAAAACCCTGTAACTTTCAAACCACAGACAATAGTTCTGACCAGGATCACAGGATAGATATGTGGAGAGTTAACAACTGTCGAGTTTACTTTGCCATGAAGTCAAAAATCAATCTATCTTGTCCATCTGTCCATCCCTCCCTTCATATCTTATCCCATCCTTCAATCTGGCTAGCTGTCTCCTGACCAAATTCATACTTTTTTTAGTATTAAAATATAACTCAATGTAGAGTAAAGATGGATTAGTCATCGACAAAGAATTAAAGGAGGAAGATAAAAGATCCAGTTCTTATCCATTTTTGTAGAATGCTATTGGAGGTCAGTGTGGCAATTATTAAACCCAGATAATAATGACAGATGGTATTTAAACTCTCTGGATCTTTGTCAGCCATCTGCCGGAAGATTCTTTTTTACTGAGTTCGTATTTCCTAGGTATTCCCTTTTAGAATAGAAGGCATGCACCTCTTAATAATACCACAGAAAATTGGTCAGCCTTTCCCTACAGGAGAGACTGGAAATCAAGGCTATTAAACTTGTGGTTTGCTTCTTGACCTCCTTAAATATTATTGCTGCTACATTGTGATAATGCATAAAACATTACAGAAAAAAGTATGGCCTAGTAGGTAAAACCAAAGCCAGCACAGAAACATGCCAGGGTGAAAAAATGCAAGGTTACAGAGTGAGATGGACCTGGGTTCAAATTTGGCTCGCTATTTAAGAGCTGTGTGCCCGTGGACAAGATATTTACACTCCTTGTGGAAAGCTCTAGTTCATACATTAGAAACTGGAGAACAGTCCTCAGAATGTGGGGTCAGTGAGATAACGCACGTGAAGGACCCAGCCCTGGGGCTGTCACATGACAGACAAGTGTTAACTCCTTCTGCTTCTTTTTTTCTCCCTAGGTTATGGAAGATGGTGAGCCTTGCTGATGCATAAATGACGACTCCTCAATGGTCTTGTATAAACAACTAAGACATGACCTCGGAAGACCTCTTGACACCTAGCCTTCTACTGAGAAACCTCCTTCCTTTCTGGAGATTCTCTTCTTCTTAAACCCATTCACAGAAGTCTACACTTCACACCATTTACCCCAAGCCCTGGTTAACTGGCTCATTGTGCATGCAATGCCTCCATTACACCTCAGTTCCACTCTCCAAAAGGGCCTTGCATATGGTAGCCACTCAAGAAGTTATTTGTAGACTAGAATGAAACACCTGTTTCCAACATGTGACATATATCACATGTGATATGGGAGATGATTTCAGGGGCTGAACATGGACTAAGATTCTTCATTTTAAGGGTTTCATTTATAGTTTGGTGTATACTCGACAAATAAATAACTGGCTCATCAAATCTCTGATGTTATATATTTTTGCTTAGGATGAGGTTAAATAAAAAAGTAAACTGATTTAAGATAGTAAAAAATTAAGTAAGTATAGTTATGATAGGAATACAGTAAAGACCATCAAAGTGTTAAAAGAGATGACAAAATCTGGGAGCTACTGCACGGCAACTAGGAGGAGCCCAGGGTGGACACGTGCCAGGTTAGCCTAGGGTAATGAGGGAGTCTGCTTCCAGAATCCATGGCTTGTGAATTCTCAGCTGGACACTTCAAGAGGTCCAGTGAATCAGGAGTCTAGCCGAAGCAGGTCAAGCCGGTGGCTGGACCCTAGAACTCAGCTGAAATAAGTAAGAAGCACGCACATTCAGATATCTGGGTGTTATCACAGGAAATACCAAACGCGAACCAAGCAGGAACAAGGGTCAGATCCCATGGCCGTTTTCAAGGTCACAGCCAAGCTGGCAGGAACTACCTAGGAGACAGGGCACCCGCCCTGGGAAGGGTGTGTGGGAGGCCCAGATGGATTCATTCTCCTTCAGCCTTAAAGGCACACGGGCCTGGATTTTGATATTGCATCCCCTCTCCAGACCATTATTTCTCAATTTACTCCTTCTGTGCAAGACTCCAAGAGAAGGGGTTTTTGTACATTTGAAGAGCCAGTGGGTCTCTACCCTACATCTCACTTTCCCAGAAGAGTGAAGTGACTGTTGTCACTGTTGTCAAAGGAGTCTTTCTCTGAGCCTCCAACACTGAGTCCCTCTACCCAATGTACCTCAACATCTAATGCTTTAATGGCCACTCTGGTTTGTGTCTGTAAGTTAAGTCCTTGTTAAGAGATGGGTATTCCTGTCACCCTGCATTGGAATACAGAATGAATTTTCCCCTAGAGAAAAAAAGTTTTAAGTAGAAAATAGGTTTTGATGAATAATATTACATACATGTTCCAGATTAGATAGGAGTCTGTAAGCTAGACAGGGACCCAGATTATCAACTGTACTATCACTTCAGTGGGAAAATGTTTTAATGCTGTAAAATGAAAATTTGGGTTGCAATTGTTCCATAGCTGGTGACTACCTGTATTTTAAAATACATCACATTCCTTACCAGAGAACACTTTACATATCTTAAATTTCATCCTTCTTTTAACATTTTTCAGAAAAAAGATCGGTTGTATCAACTACGGCTGGTATCCACATTTAATACTATTGAAAAATAACTGATCACCCTCCCCACGTAACAAAAGAATGCCCCAAACTTTACATTTGAGGAAAATTCTAGACACATCAATGTGATTCCAATAAATACTTGAGAAAATATTGATTTTCTTTAATCAAGTCTCAGCTGCACCAAGTTATTCGTGGGGTGAGCTGGAACGACAGTCCAACCTTCCACACTACGACACTGACAGTTAATTATTCTTGGTTCTCACCATAAGCCTTTAACCTAACGTTTTCCACACTTGCCTGATGAAAAGAGCTACCTGATGCACTTTTAAAAACAACAACACCAGGCCCCAGCCCAGTACTGAATCAAAATTTCAAGGGAGAGTTCTGGGAGTTGCATATTTAAAGCCTGCCCATTCCTGGTGATTCTGTCCTTACCCTGGAGGCTGGATTAGGGTCACCTGGAGGGCTTATGAAAACACAGGTTGCTGGGCCTCAGCCCAAGAAGGCCTCAGCCCTGATCCAGGTCTGTGGTGGGGTCCAAGAATTTGCACTTCCAAAAAGGTCCCCAAGTGATGCTGACGCTGCTAGTCCAAGGACCACACTTCCAAAACCACTAAGTTAGCTTATTTGGTAAACACTGCAGTTGAATTCAGTAATTTTTTCTCTTCCCTCCTTGGTAGGAAAACAACACCAGACTCACAAGACAGCCTTTGGAGTAATCCCCCTGCTACTGTTTAGCAGTTTGATGTTAGACAAATTTACCACTGCATCTCTGTTCTCTTTTATTGTGAGGAATAAAATGCAACACAAGGGAAGAGGTTTGGTCCTGTAATGAGCACACAGTAGGCCTGCAGGAAACATCTGTGTACTTCGAGCACCTTGCCATGATCATCCCCTGTGAACTACAGATGAATCAGCTGAGGTCTAGAAACAGGCCCCCAAATTTATCACATGTGCAAAACTTCACTGGGTTAAAACAAGCCAACAAGCAATGGCTGACCCCATCTTTTTCTTGTGAGCTATCATATAGCTATGTTTTGAATAATACAACATCTCCAGTGGGAATTCAGTTAGCTTCCCAGCTCACATTTCCCATGGAAATAAAAACAGAAAACAAAGAGAGATTAGGTTATGCTTAGGTTCCCTGTTTAATTTTGACCAGGCTGAATTTAGTACCCAGGTATGGATTATTTTCCTGGCAGCTCTTTATTATACTGTTTGGCTATTTCTTGTGACCTAAAAATCAAACAAATGGATCACAGGCTCCTGGCATAAGGGGGGCCCTGGAGGCCATCAAGCCCACCCCACCCCCACTCTAGGAATGACACCAAACACATCACCAGCGTGCGTTGGTCCAGTCTCTTCTTGGACATCCACTGAGAATGCACTAGTTTCACGAACCCCAATTTTCTCTTCAGATAACTCTAATCATTGGATTATTTTCGCCTTTTGAGCAAAAGAACATTATTTCTGTAATTTTAATATCTTTGGTCCTAGATATGCCCTTTAGTGCCTGAATGTCTCATCTCCACACAACAGCATTTAACATATTCTGACAGAGCTCTGACATCTTCCTTGCCTATTCCTTCTCAGTCTAAACATTCTGTTTTTTCAACCATTCCCACCAACAAAATTTCCACATACTTAACAGCCCTGGTCCTCCTCTTGTGGAAAAGCCCACCTTGAGGATGCTTCCTCACTAAAACACAAAAACAAAACCATACCATGCTTCATGTTTACCACATCCTATCACCGCCAACAAAACCAAAATGAATCATAAGAACAGTGGAGTGTTCCCTTCCAAACGGAGTTTCCAAGAGCAGGAAGCTACAGCACACACCACTACGTTGTAAGGACTGAGAAGGCGGTTTCAGGACAGGCTTGGAAGTGGCCCGGAGCCAGAGGCAAGTGGATCTGGCTACCGCGATCCTGCTTGAAACAGAAATGCTGGGCTGCCATGGAAATTACCTAAGCCTAGGAAAGTTTCTTCCCAAGCGAGACGGAGTGAAACAAAAGGGGTTTCTTACTTTCTACGAAACATTTCTGCAAATATGCAGCCGACACTCCAGAGATCCACAGGGGTGGCGTAGCTGGACTGAAGCAAGACCTCGGGAGCTCTGTACCACAGCGTGACGACCTGCAACGGCAAAGGGGTCTGAGTGTTACGGAGGAAGACGGCTGTTGGCGCAAATGCCTCATCCCGGGGGGTCTCGTGCAGAACACTCCTCAAATCACATGGGGACGCTGAGATGGAAGCAAGAACTGGGACTCAACACTGACAGGTCAGGAAATTACATCATCCCCACAACCTGGGTTCCCACCTCAGACTCTGGGTGTCTTACTAGGATGGTAATATAACTGAGTTTCAGAAAGCAGAGCAAAGCCTTAAAAAAAAAAAACTTATCTTAAAACGATTTTTCTTAAGGGGCTTTAAAAAAAAAATACATGGAAAACTGGTGACAGCAACGATTTCAGCTCAGTTCCCACGTCAGCATTATTGGGAAGTGAGGTGATTCCAGCGCCTGCTGAAGGGTGACCTTGAAGTCTCCAGAGCACCCAGGGCGAGTCAAAACTACTCTTATCATGAGACTGTGGGGAATCAAAACAAAGCCCCCTTCAATGTCACTCTTTTCAGAAAACAAAAAACAAAGAACTTAAGAGACAATGTGTAATCCAATTGTTTATACTGTGTGTAAAAAGTCATTCGGAGGAAGGGATTCCAAAATGGGAAGACCCTCCTTTAATATTGAGCAGTGTATATAAACATAATAATATACAATAACAATAGATAAAACAAGCACAACTGTAATGATTTCTGCAAGGTTGAGAGGCGAGGAAAACAAATCATTAAGGCGCCAGATTTATAAGCATATATAGCAGTTCAAGTAGACAGTACATAGGGGCTTCTTCTCTGGGGGGAGCAGATATTCTGTGGTTGCCTGAAATGAAGGTATATTTTTTACCGTCAGGTAAGAAATTCAATACGTGAATCTATTACATAAGCATTTTATATTATTTAGATTCCTTTTATCATTACTTACTGTTCTACCTAATTCTACTTTGGTTGATGTCTGTCTAAATTTCTTGAAATTCTGCTTTATGTCCTTTGATCCTCTAGTACTTAGTGCATTAAGACGGCAGTAGCAGTTCTCAAAAACAATGGTTGCTATCAATTTCCTTCTTTCCCTTATATGCACACACTCCTCCCACTAAGGGTTGGAGTTTAATTCACCTTCCACTGAATCTGAGTTGGCCGTAGTGACTTGCTTGACTAATAGAATATAGTGGAAGCAACATCCGAGACTATCAAAGCTAGGTCACGAGAAGCCTGGTAGCCTGGGCCTTTCTGAAAGCTTGTTCTTGAGGTGCTTCCTCTTGCAACCACGCTGCCATGCAGTGAGCAGCCCACAGAGATGTTCCAACTGACAGCCCCAGCTGAGCTCTTAGCCGAAAGCCCTGTGAGTGAGTCCTCTTGAGCATTTCAGCCTGCCAGATGACTGTGGTCCCTGCCAACGTCACGTGGAGCAGAACTGACTAGCTGAGTCTAGTTAACTCACAGGATTATAAGTGATAATGACATGGTTGCTGTTTTAAGTTTTGGGGTGATAGCCTCCTTTTCATCCCTCTACTACCCTTCTCTTCATCTCATTTAACATGTTTTGCTTGGAATTCACACAAGGGGTCTAGTTCTGTCGAGGGCTATCCGACTGATACCTACTAGAGGAATGTAACCTAATGGTAATGTAATGGAAAGAACAAAAAAGAACATGAACAAACGTACAAAATCAAAGCAATCCTACTCATTGCTATCACCTGGCTCCAACGTACCTCTGCAGCCTCATCTTCTGTAGTACTTCCATATCCCTCACAGCTCAGCTACAGACAAGACCGCACCACGGGCTCATCATAGTCATCCGTGGGGCTTTTAGAGAGACACAGGCTTCTGGGCCTCATCTTGTCTCTACTGAATTAGATTTTCATGAGTGGGGCCCTTGGAGTTCTTTTTCTGTCTTCTTTTTTTTTTTGGTTAAAATTCTTGAGGTAACCCTAACTTTTAGCTAGGTTTGAGTACCATTCAATTATTCAAACATATCCTCCAGCTCCTGCCTCCATGTTTTTGTTGACACTGTTCTAGTCTGGAAAGCTCCACTTTCTCCTCCACATGTAGAAATTCTGCTTATCCTGCAAAGCTCAGCTTTGATGCCATCACCTCCTTGAACCCCCTGAAAATATACCTTGTATCATAGTTCATAGTATGGGTCGTTCCAGAGGACATGGACCCAATTTTATCCATTGTTATGTCTGTAAATGCCCATCACAATACTGTGCACATAACAATTGGGACTTAACAAATATCAAATTAATGATTTTAAGGCAATCACTCCAGAAGACAACCGGGCAAAATTCAACTACCAGTCAAACCCTCAAAAGAAGATACTATTTTTGCTAAGAAGAGTGTCCAACTCTGGGCTGCAGGTTTTTTTTTTTTTTGTTACATAATCTATTTCTGCTTTACTAATATTTCTAGCTAGAGGAAGACTTCCCTATTTCTCTGATACCCTGTAACCAAAGTACAGGGGCAAACTGTCCACCAAGTTCCAGTCCAGTGATTTATAGACATACACATATATTGTGAGATCACACACTTATCTTCTCACCTCAGTCCAAAACAGTCTAGCATCATATGAGCTGAAAAGTTTAATTTGAATACAGCATTATTTCAAGATGTTCTAAAGAGGCTGTGGTTTCTGATTGATTGCCCATTAAAAGACACATTAGTAGAACTATCTCCATTTTCAGTGTTTTAATCAGTGATACTTATTATGATCATCCAATAAATGTTCAGACAGCTGTAATAACAAGAATATTGATACATTTAAGAAGTTCCCTCTATTCCTTTAAAAATTTAGTTACCAAGTGAAATTAATAACGAGTTTTTAGCAGATACTTTTTAAAGTGTCTATTAATAATGACATTTGATCATTCTTTTATTCTATTAATGATATATTAATTATATTAATAGCTTTCCCAATATTGTACCATCCTTTCCTTTTTGGAATAAATCATACCTAATAATAGTTTATTATTCTTGTAATAGACTCTTGGATTCCATTTGCTAATATTTATTCAGGATATTAATTTATACTGATAAATGAGATTGACCTATAGTTTTCTTTTCTGTGTAATTTTTCATGTTTTGGCATTAGGGACATGTAAGCTTTGCATCCTGTTGTATATTCTGGAATGTTATAAACAACGTAAGAATAATCAGTCCCTTCAAGGGACTCACTTGTAAAACCATCTGGGGTTGGATTTTTCTTAGCATTATGTCTAACAATCTCATGAATTTCTTCTTGGTAATTAAGTTTGTTCAGGTTTCAGCTTCTTTTTGAGTCAATTTTGGTAATGATAACAAATTTCCCTATGAAAATCTTTAATCTAGATTTTAGAATGTGTTGGCTTAAATTTGTACATGGTATTTCTTCTAATTATTTTAATCTCATCTGTTTTCTTGGTTTTCTCAGGAAGAGAAAATCTGATTTTTAGTTTGTTTTCTCTTTACATCAGTCAGGTTTGTCAGGTGTTTTAGCTGTATTATTAATTAAAAGAAACCGACTTCAAGACATTTCTACTTTGGGAGGATTATTGTTTTATTTTATCATTAGTTGATTTCTACTTTCATCTTTTAAAATTCTCCCCTCCTAGTTTCTTTGTTTTTTTAAATTTATTTCTCAGTTGAAACTTCAGTAATTTATTTTCAGTTTTGATTAATTATAGAACATTTAGTTATATATTAAATAAACCTTCCTCATTTTTGTTCAGTTTTAAATAATATGTAACTTACCTTTAATTTTCTCTTTAGTCCAACAATAAAATTATTTGAAGAATTATTAGAAAAGAGTTTTAAAATTTCCATGTGATCAAGTTATTTATAGTTAACTTTCAGTTGTTGGATTTGTAGTTTTATTGTATCATAGCCAGAGAATGTAAACTGTGGAATACCTACTTGGTAGAACTTACTGTTTTCTTTATGACTATGCACATAACTGGCTTTTGTTCTGTAGGGTGTAAGGAGAGTACTCTCTTATAAGTGGAAAGTTCTTGTCTCATACAGATCCTTACTATACTTTGTCAAACTCTGAAGGAGAACAGTTTTTGTTTTCCTTCCCCCAGAATCTCCTTGCACTTCTAAGGGTTTCTGCCTTACACACACTGGCCTTATGTTTTGGTATATACAATTTATTACAACAAAATATTCTTCACATAACGAGAATTTAGATGATGGTAGACATAAGATAGAAGTAAATACACAAATGCAATGGAAAAAGGATCCCATTCACACAGTAACAACAACAACAAAATGTACAATGCCAAGGAATTAAAAAAAAAGGCAAGATCTATAGAAATAAAATGATATACTATTATTGAAGATAATAAAATAAAAACTAAATAAACGGTGAGACAGACCATGATAGGATGGGAAAAGCCATATTATAAAGGTAATCATCATTCCTGTATGAACACAAAAATTTAAGACAGACCAATGATTTGGGGAGGAACTTAACTTTGACCGTAAGGTGCCTCTGGCAGGACAACACTTAAGAAGCCAAAAATAGTTTGAGAAATAAGGATGAGGGGGATTTGTTCTTTGTAAACAAAATATATTCTAGGGTACAGCAAATAAAACAGTAGGTGATAATAGATTAAAAAAGAATAAAGTCCAGAAATAGAATAAGATATTTATATGGTGATATTTATAAGATGTATAAGGTATTCTTATAGATGGCTGAATTTCATCTTAGAGAGAGAGAGAAAATGCACTTCAAAAATGTGAAAGCAAGACAACTGGCCATCCATTTGGAAGAAAATACGATTGATCCCTACTTTTACACCATGTATAAGAAGAAACAATATAGATTCAAAATGTAAATGTTAAGAAATTGAGCTAGAAAAATGTATTAGGTCAAATGGCGACCTAGGAGAAAAAAACTAAAACAAATTACATCAATAAATAATACAACAGAAAAATGGATAAAAAATATGAAAAGTCAATTCACAAGAAGAAAAAACTATCAAAGATATTCAATCTCATTAAAAGTAAGAAAGAAGAAAAGCAAGAAAGGAAAGAAGGAAGGA